CCCAAACGCTTGGGTGAAAAATGTTATCAAAACTCATTAGGAACATGAGTAGGTTCGACAAAAGTACAGCTAAAATCACAACCCTTGGTTAAAAGACTGCTGAGTAAAGAGAACATTGCTCAATGCTTATCCTCGATTAATTCTCAGTGTCGTCGTCACCGCGCTGAGATGCAACACAACAGAAACCATACATGGGCTGGCCATCCTTGTGCATCCTCGGTTGGCCCTCAGTGTCGTCGTCACCGAGCTGAGGTGCACCACAACAGCAACCATCCATAGGCTGGCCAGTCACGTACATCCTCGGTTAACCCTCAGTGTCGTCGTCACCGCGCTGGGGTACACCACAACAGCAACCATCCATCGGATGGCTAAGCCTAAATGTCCGACAAAACTAGATCATACGGATCAAAATCTGACCATCAAAATTTGCACTGAAATGCAAAAGGCCGAATGTCCATACCCAAAGACCCCACTCGCCCGAGTGTTGGGACAAAACTGATAACGATATGCCTGATTCAGGATGTGAAATTCTGCCGGGCTAATGTACCTATCTGTGTGGTCACAAAAGTCCAAAACCAACGGGCTGCTCCCCGCTGACTTCCAGAGGGCGCAGCCCCTGTCGAGCGGGAGGCCTGATACGGTTGTGAGGTTAAGCAGGCATGTGCAGGACGTGACGATTCCTTGGGTGAGCCCAGAACCAGAGCGCCATGTGCCGGCTCTGCATGCATGGAAGCCTCCTTGGATGGCGGGGGAATGCCCATGATCTGCCCCTGCCTTCCCTTGAGGGCCAACTGTTCCACAGGGGGTTGCCCCTAAGGGGTACTCCGGGGGCAATACCTGCGGCGAAGGAGACAAGGCGGACACCACACAAATCAGGCAGTCTCGACCCACACAAAACAATGGCCACAGTCACCCTAGAAATAGGCCTGACGTCTTCCTTCGAAGTCGGCGTACAGCTGCCCAAGAGGCAGGGAAATTAAAAACGGTTGTACACGCAAAAATCAGGTCCAGGTGAAGGCCAAAAGTCCAAGCGGACGATTAACCGGGACCTTCCACTGGAATTCACAGCCGGTGTTCGATGAAAAAAAAAAAAAAAATAACCCCCTGCCTTTTTCTTTAAATTGTCATTAAACATAACAACGTCATGACTGCAGACTTACCTTTTATATCCGCAGACCCCCCGTGTGGGTTCCGGGGCCCCATTGTGGGGAAAACAAGAATAGACCCACTGCCTCCCCAAAAGCATGTCGTAAGAGTCGACTAAATGGGGAGCTTCCTTTGAAGCCTGAGTGCATCTGCCGGAGAGGCAAGGAACCAACAGTCTGTATTCAAGAGAATGAGATCTGTAAAACTGATGCGCACGCAACACTTAGGTTCTGGAGCAGGACTTCAGTTTAGTAGTGGGCGAGCAACCAGAACTTTCCGCCAGAGTGTACAGCTGGTGAACGCGAAGAAGAAGAAGATATCCGCAGTAAAAAAAAAAAGTTTGTTGCGTATCCTTTACAGGACGTTGCAGAACCAACCCTAACAGCCCCTGGCTGTTGTGTGGTTTCTCTAGGCAATATACATCCAGTAGTTTACCATTGCTTTCTGGACGGTCGGCTTTCTTGATACCGCTGTCGAAACCAACGCAAGGCGCAGTGCCCGCAGCTGGGATCGAACCTGGCATCTATCCGCAGACAGGAACTATTTGCCACTGAACATTTTTTTCCAAGGTCTGGTCGCTTCTTGCTTTACCCAATAAGGGTCGGACACTCAAAGCTGGCAGGTGAAGTGAATGTGGAAAAGCTCTAACCAACGTTAACTGTACTGTAAGTTTGGTTTCGATGTGGGGTGGGGGGAGGGGTGGGATTGATTGGAACATAGATCAACTGGTAGACAGAAGCAGTCAGGTAGAGATAGTCAAGCAGACATACCTGAAGAAGGACGAACGGACGGCCAGATGAAAAGTTAGACAGGCAGGCAGATAGACAAGCAGGTAGACAGAATAATAGATGGATGGGTGCATGGATGGATTAATGGACGGATGCATGGACTGAAGGACATACGGAGCGACATACAAAAGATAGAGAGACACACATACTGATAGATAATATTGCAGGCAGGAACACCGACAGACAGAAAATCCTATTCGCCTCTTATAGCCACGCCATTGATCGTATGTTGTTTGTAATGACTGACTCGATGCTTGCAGTAAATTATACCACAGCTTTCGTTTTATTTCAGTGTCTTCAAGTTCAGGGATTTCCTACTGTAGTATATTTAGCACACCTAGAGTAGTTCCTGTTTACTTGTTTCTGTCTTTCTGTTCTTCTTCTCATGCTCCAGCATTTCCTTTATCACTACCCATGCTATTTTCTCCTCCTCCTCCTTCTCTCTTCTTCTTCTTCTTCTTCTTCTTCTTCTTCTTCTTCTTCTTCTTCTTCTTCTTCTTCTTCTTCTTCTTCTTCTTCTTCTTCTTCTTCTTCTTCTTCTTCTTCTTCTTCTTCTTCTTCTTCTTCTTCTTCTTCATCATCATCATCATCTCCCTCTACTTCTTTTTCTCCTTCTTCTTTTCCCCCCAACACATGTTCAGTTCCAAAACCCCTTTCCAATGTTTTGAGGGAGAAAGATAGTCTGTGTGTCTTTGTGTGTGTGTCTTTGCCGAGTTTGCTTAGATTCATAGTTGCATACATGTATATATGTCTGCGCTTAGATTCTGAGCTCCACAGATATGTTTGTGTGTGAGTGTGCACGCTTGTGTGTGTGTGTGTGTGTGTGTGTGTGTGTTGTGTGTGTGCGTGCGTGTTTTTGTATCAGCTCGACAACGGTCACCATATACAGCGGTACCCTGATATGCGTACTTAATCCACACCTGATCCTTGGGTGTATACCAGACAGTGTGTATACCAAACAAATTTGCCCATAAGAAATTGAGATAATGCATAACCCGTTCCTATGGGAGATCTAATCCTATTGTCCTATTGTGCATATTATACACCGATTTTTTCTTCTTCTTTTTTAGCATTCCGATCCCTTATGGTTCATTGCTGCAGATATCACCCGCCTCCATTTATTTCTCTGGCTGGCGTTTTTTTTCCATTTATTAACACCAAGTGTTTGCAGGTCTGACTGGATATTATCTCTTCATCGTCTTCTTGGTCTCCCTCATGGTCTACGACCATTTATCTCCCTGGTGTATACAGTTTTTTACTTCTCTGTCATCTGACATTCTTTCAATATGCCCCAACCATTTCAGTCTATTAGCTCTCATGATGCCAGTGATCAGTGGTGATTTAAACAGATTAGGAATTTCGTTGTTGCTTCTCACTCTTGGATTATGCACTGATTTGGTTGTGTAAAATAATTTACATTCTGCCTTATAATAAAATACACAAATACCAAAGAAATGACAGGAAATAAATAGAAATTGAACTTCGTTTTACCTTCGTTAGAAGATTCGAGTGCCTCCTAGGATGGCGCTTAGGAAGGAAGAGGGGGAGATGTTGGTGACTGGAATGAGAGTCATCTTCCAATAAAACTTCAAGTATCTGAAATTCTGGTGGATGTATGTGTGTGTGAGTGTGTATGTGTGTGTGGGTGGGTGCGCGCGCGCGCGTGTGTGTGTGTGTGTGGTGTAGTGTAGTGTTTTCTGTTTCTTTTCGCTACTTGGACCTTGTTAATATTCATCAGGTTTGCTTGGACTTTTATAAAAAATATGTCCAAAAAACGTTGCTTCTGCCTTCTGCTCGGAATCTTTCGGCAATCTGGCATTGTCTGGTCATTCCAGACAACGCTTTTACGGTTGTGTGGGCTCTGTCTGGTTGACATCTCTATGTGGTTTTATCTCCAGAAAGGTAAACAAAGATAGCGCACGGTGTCGTGACTAATTCTGACTCCTACACATTCGTTTTCCAAACAAAGGTTGTATGTCAAGCAAAGGTTCTAAACAGGACGTATACAAGTTGAACGTATACCAATGGGAACGTACACTGAGCTATTACGGTGTTTGCTTTGCACAAACAAAGAAGTCGGTGTATTTCGCTGAGGCGTTGTGAACAATTTTTAAAATTCCATGCTGCTGGCTTTAATCCCAGCTGTGGGCTACTTGGCATCCCACCGCCTTGCGTTGGTTTTAAAAGTGGTATTGAGGTTTAAAAAAATAATGGCAAACTACTGAATGTCAAATTGCCTACGAAATCACCAACAGCTAAAAACAGTTCTGGGGCTGGTTCTTCAACGTCCTGTAAAGAACACGCAACTAACTTTTAGCATACACACACACACACACACAAAATCACTTTTCCCACGCACGCACGCACGCACACACACAAGCACTCACTGGTCACACAACACACGCACGCTCGCACACCACACACTCATACGCACACACATATACCCATACTAACGCACACCACACCAGCGCACATGTCATACACACACATACACACCGACACGAAAACACATGATAGTAAGTAAAAAGTAAAATCCCTTCTCCACGCCTGTAGGTGTATATGGAATATAGGGCTAGACCTATGTTTTTATAGACCAATCGGCACAAGATGGGTGATTTGGTCAGCATCACGCCGGCCGCCTTTACTTCTAGGGATTGCACCCGGTACCCACTCAAGGCTGGGTCGACCTGGGAGTCAAGTGTCATTTTTTGAAAAGAAAAAAAAAAAGTCCGGCTCCGCCAGGGAGCAAACCCATGACCTTCCGATCCGAGCGCAAGCGTCTAGCCACGGCGACTCTCCTAAAACACATGATGATGATGGTAAAAATAAAGCACTGTATTCTAAGGCCAGGTAACCCAGTGACCCAGATGCAGAGAAACCAAAGCTAGGAAATCCCCCGAGACGCATGCGCAAAGAATACATTAAAAATTTCTACTTCCTGCTGTGCGAAAACTTCAACCAGGGGATCCCGCCTCGGAGACGAACCAAAGCTTTCATTTTGTGATCCACAAACGGAAAGATTGAGATACTTTCTCAATGATTTGTCGAAAGGTTTAGGGCCTAGTCATGAAGCTTGCCGGAAATGGTAAAGGGGAGTTGGATGACGATATGGAGCACGACGGCGGGGACACGGATAAGAGTTCCGAGGACGAATCACACAGCTGTTCAACTGAAGAAGCAGAAGAGGACCAAGATCAAGAAGACGAATCGCAATCAGGTAGGTTAACGAGAATTCATGTGCTTGCTGTTTTCTGCTATATTATTGAATTAACTAATTTGAATAGTTCTTATTTTTGAATATTTTGACCGGACGTGAACTCTGCTCACAAATTTCATAAATATAAGTGTCACAATCGAGTTGGCTCAGTCGGGTGTTCAATATCGGATCGGCAATCACCTTTTTAGCGTAGGGCTAACAGTTCACCTCCTTGTTTGACTGTTATGATATACATTATAACTTACTGTTTACTGGATACTAGTCATGCTATGGTTTGACTAGAGTAAATTAAATGGCTTATAAAATTAATAAAACACAGTACACAGTAATTGCCTTTATTGGTTTAGAAGCAAGGTGAAAATAGACATTGATATGGGCATTATTATTTCTGCTTAGTCCAAAAATAATATTGCAAGGATAAAGAACATTTCTCAAAAATAAGTAACTTAACAAAAAATTTGAACAGTTGAAAACCAATTCTACATAAGACCATGGATGTTTGTTTAATTTGTCATCAGTTAGCTGTTAGTTTATTTTCAGTTTTTGTGAAAATGGTTGTGACAAAAAATGTGTTTTGACACACCTACCCATGCTGCATGCTTAGCTTCATTCTTGCATGAATACATGCAAAGATTCTTTCTATGTCGCTTAGATCTAAAATTCCTGTGTGAATAATTGAAAAGTCCTACACTGTGTCACTTAGGTTTTAACATTTCTGTATGAATAGGTGTAAAGATTTCTTTCTCAAGCATGTCACTTCGGTTTAAGCATTACTGTAATAATTTTAGCAAAAATGAATAACTGAAAAAGGTAACAGATAATGTTGAAACACAGATGAATAGGTTGTAGTTCGTGGAAACAAAAAACAAATACATAAATTCTGCAGAGATTAGAAATGAAAAGAAGGTTACTGAAAGAAATGAAAAAAGACAAGTGAAATATTTCAACCATATTAAAAAGACATAAAACTGTTTTTAAAAACTAGACTAGAAGAAAAAGTTGAAGGCAAGGGGCAGACAGTGATACAAGTGGGAGGATAACATCAAGAGATTGATGGGCAGCAGTCCTAGTGAGATTACATCTATGGTGAAAGACAGAATGTGTTGGAAATCCATTGAACTTACAGTCAGATACCCTGTTAACCTCAAAAGAAATTATAATTAGAGTACCCATACATTTTTATGAGGGTAAAGATGTTGTTTGTGGGTCTGTAGGTTCCATTTTTTTTTAAAGTAAAGGTGAGAGGAATCGACTTCATTGCACCAGAGTTTTTCTCATATGGATCAGTATGTTTCTGCAGAACCGCTAGCTGCCTGCTGAGAGCGTCACACAGAGCACAACTTTCATAGCTCCGGCGACGATCCCCAGGGATCTCCATAAAATTGCACTAGTGAATTGAAGGGCGCCATCTGTTGTGTGTCGAATCTGTAAAATTGGGACAGACATGTTGGCCAGTAAATTCATGAAGTGTCAACGATGCTTAAGTCAACATTCAGATGGAGAATTTGTCGGGTGAAACCTGGTGTACTGAGGTCTGCGTGAAACAAACCTACCACCTTCAGAGCGTGATATAAATGGCTTGACCACTTCACTGCTGAGACAAAAGAATAGCCCATCTGCCATCCTAACAAGCATGTCATAAAGGGATACAAACTAGGGATTTGTTGAAATTGGATGTATTGGCCGAAAAGCACAGATCTCCCATCCTAGCTGTATGCAGCAAAATGTGCCAACCATACTTTTGAAGGCGATTGCACAAGAAAAAGTTTATTGGAGACACTGTGTAGCCATGTTTGTCACAAGTACCCTGTAATCACCTTGTATTGATCTACTGACTCTTCTGCAGAAATTGATGAAGTTGAATGTGAAAGAAGACGGCATGAATTTCTCTCTGACATGTCTGAATTGGAGAAACAGTTTTGTGAACTCAAAGAGCAGTAAGTTTTCAGAGAGATCCTTATCTTTTTATGTGATAGCTGTAAATTCATTTTTAGTATTCAGTTTCCTGTCTCTTTGTCTTATCGTCTTACTATCAGTCCTATTTGTTTAGTTTAACAGATAAGTTTGAGCATTATCATTTGTCTTTGGTACTTACTCCTAACACCTTTCCAAGTGATTATACTGCTGGACTTCCACGTGGAAGACTTGGGTTTGAACACTATAAGATGTGGTTGGTTTTTCTGTCGGGGAAAGAAAAAATATCCTAACCCACACATGAGGGCTAATAGACTGAAATAACCGGAGTATAATGATAGAATGTCAGTTGACAGAGAGGTAAAAACTGTGTACACAAGGGAATGGTCGTACACCACGAGACAGACCAAGAAAACAATGGAGAGATAATGTCCAGACAGACCTGCAAACACTTAGTGTCACCAACTGGAAAGAGAGGCCAGCCAGAGTGATGAATGGAGGTGAATGCTTTGTGCAGCAGTGAATCTCAAGGGCTTGGAATGCTGAAGAAGAAGAACCTGCACAATCTGTGAGATTGAACTAGCTCTGCAGCCCTGAATTCTCAGTCTACCACACGCTCTAAAACAAAAGAGTGAATACAGGCATTAAAGACAGTATATAAATAAACAAAAATTATTTCTGTTTTTTTTTCATTCATGCAACATGACGTGTATATCATTATGATTGTTGTGACGACGCTTAACTGTTACAAACATTGTCATTTAACTGTTAACAAATATTTTATGTCGCTCGCAAGTCTTCTTCTGGAACAATATTAGTTTACCATCTGATCTCATGCAAGCAGCATAACTGTAAATATTATTGTTGACTTGTGTAGTCAGCTAATGTTATTGCTTTTATTGTATTTGTTACAATCCTGCTCAGCTTAATCAGCAGAGTTTACTGCTCATTAGCCAGTATCAAGAAATGAATGAACACAAGATGTAGTTACTTTTGTTTTTGGTTTTGTCTCTGTACACTTTTATCCCATTCCATCTTTTCATATATTTTGTTTCAAGAACTTCAGGTTTTATTTATGTTATTCACTGAAGTTGGCCAAAATGGCTGATACCTGGGTGATGCTCTGAAAAATTGTTTTGCTGACACAAATTCATCATATCTAGACCAAGAGTCCAAAGGTTCAACCGCCCAGCTACTGAGTTGAGTGCTTGGTGTGACACTCTGAGCTGAGGAAATTTTTTTGTGTCTGTTGTGCCCACAGTCTGTTATTGACAAATGAAATTGGCAGTTGGCTGATTATGCTCAGAATGGTGTGTACTTTTGTAAGTGCAGTGTCATCTTTTGTGATTGTAAGTGTTGGCACATCCGACCACTGCCTTATATATTATTACCTTGTGTGTGCAAGCGTAAAGTTTTTGCTGGGGCTAAAAATTAAACTAGACTTTGCTTGAATAACTATAAGTAAACATACTCAGAATCGTTGAAAGTAGACATAGCTCAAATGGCTGGTCATATTCATTGTTTGGGTAACTGGAAGTAGGCATACTCTGAAAGTAGACATGGTTTGGATCACTGAAAGCAGACATTCTTGTAAACTGGCAGTAGATGTGGTCTGGATGACTGAAATCATACATCCTGAAAACTGGCAGGAGATATGGTTTGGATCAATGAAAGCAGACATTCTTGTAAACTGGCAGGAGATTTGGTTTGGATCACTGAAAGCAGACATTCTTGTAAACTGGCAGGAGATTTGGTTTGGATCACCGAAAGCAGACATTCTTGTAAACTGGCAGGAGATTTGGTTTGGATCACTGAAGGCAGACATTCTTGTAAACTGGCAGGAGATTTGGTTTGGATCACTGAAAGCAGACATTCTTGTAAACTGGCAGGAGATTTGGTTTGGATCACTGAAAGCAGACATTCTTGTAAACTTGCAGTAGATGTGGTCTGGATGACTGAAATCATACATCCTGAAAACTGGCAGGAGATATGGTTTGGATCACTGAAGGCAGACATTCTTGTAAACTGGCAGGAGATTTGGTTTGGATCACTGAAAGCAGACATTCTTGTAAACTGGCAGTAGATGTGGTCTGGATGACTGAAATCATACATCCTAAAAACTGACAGGAGATATAGTTTGGATCAATGAAAGCAGACATTCTTGTAAACTGGCAGGAGATTTGTTTTGGATCACTGAAAGCAGACATTCTTGTAAACTGGCAGGAGATTTGGTTTGGATCACTGTCACTGAAGGCAGACATTCTTGTAAACTGGCAGGAGATTTGGTTTGGATCACTGAAAGCAGACATTCTTGTAAACTGGCAGGAGATTTGGTTTGGATCACTGAAAGCAGACATTCTTGTAAACTGGCAGGAGATTTGGTTTGGATCACTGAAGGCAGACATTCTTGTAAACTGGCAGGAGATTTGGTTTGGATCACTGAAGGCAGACATTCTTGTAAACTGGCAGGAGATTTGGTTTGGATCACTGAAAGCAGACATTCTTGTAAACTGGCAGTAGATGTGGTCTGGATGACTGAAATCATACATCCTGAAAACTGGCAGGAGATATAGTTTGGATCACTGAAGGCAGACATTCTTGTAAACTGGCAGTAGATGTGGTCTGGATGACTCAAATCATACATCCTGAAAACTGGCAGGAGATTTGTTTTGGATCACTGAAAGCAGACATTCTTGTAAACTGGCAGGAGATTTGGTTTGGATCACTGAAAGCAGACATTCTTGTAAACTGGCAGGAGATTTGGTTTGGATCACTGAAGGCAGATATTCTTGTAAACTGGCAGGAGATTTGGTTTGGATCACTGAAAGCAGACATTCTTGTAAACTGGCAGGAGATTTGGTTTGGATCACTGAAAGCAGACATTCTTGTAAACTGGCAGGAGATTTGGTTTGGATCACTGAAGGCAGACATTCTTGTAAACTGGCAGGAGATTTGGTTTGGATCACTGAAAGCAGACATTCTTGTAAACTGGCAGGAGATTTGGTTTGGATCACTGAAAACAGACATTCTTGTAAACTGGCAGTAGATGTGGTCTGGATGACTGAAATCATACATCCTGAAAACTGGCAGGAGATATAGTTTGGATCACTGAAGGCAGACATTCTTGTAAACTGGCAGGAGATTTGGTTTGGATCACTGAAAGCAGACATTCTTGTAAACTGGCAGTAGATGTGGTCTGGATGACTGAAATCATACATCCTGAAAACTGGCAGGAGATATGGTTTGGATCAATGAAAGCAGACATTCTTGTAAACTGGCAGGAGATTTGGTTTGGATCACTGAAAGCAGACATTCTTGTAAACTGGCAGGAGATTTGGTTTGGATCACTGAAAGCAGACATTCTTGTAAACTGGCAGGAGATTTGGTTTGGATCACTGAAAGCAGACATTCTTGTAAACTGGCAGGAGATTTGGTTTGGATCACTGTCACTGAAGGCAGACATTCTTGTAAACTGGCAGGAGATTTGGTTTGGATCACTGAAAGCAGACATTCTTGTAAACTGGCAGGAGATTTGGTTTGGATCACTGAAAGCAGACATTCTTGAAAACTGGCAGTAGATGTGGTCTGGATGACTGAAATCATACATCCTGAAAACTGGCAGGAGATATGGTTTGGATCAATGAAAGCAGACATTCTTGTAAACTGGCAGTAGATGTTGTCAGGATGACTGAAATCATACATCCTGAAAACTGGCAGGAGATATGGTTTGGATCAATGAAAGCAGACATTCTTGTAAACTGGCAGTAGATGTTGTCTGCATGACTGAAATACATCCTGAAAACTGGAAGTAGATATGGTTTGGATCAATGAAAGCAGACATACCCATATAAACTTGGAAGCATGTATGCCTTGGATAACTGCAAAAAGTTTTGCCCTTGGTCATTAGAAGGGTGCACTGGAGGTTTTTTAGCCATTGAATACCCTCATCTGGTTTAGAACACACAAATTCACATACTTTTGTCTGTTTGTAGAAAATTTGTTAAAGCCGAGAGTTACAGCTTGATTGCCCAGAGTATCCCAGATTGCTTGGTATCTCTCCGCAGAAGGACTAGCTGCCTGCTGAGAGCGCCACAGAAAGCACAAATTGGATAGCTTCAGCGATGATGCCCAGAAAGCTCAATAACAACTTCACATATGAACCTGATGACGCATCCGTTTAACGAACCCAGGTTTTCAGAACATGAGGCTAATAGCTTGGCCACTTCGCCTCGGAGACCTTCATAACTTGCTGTATCAGTGCTATGAATTATGTTTTTAAACAGTTTTAATGAGTAATGTGTCACTCTTACCCATTAATAATTATAGGTTATACACGGAGAGGCTTCAACAAATTGATGCCAAGATCATTGAGATCCAGAACAACAAAGCTAGTGAATACTTGCAGCCTCTAGCACAGCTGGAAGACCAGTTGGCCACCAAGAAAAAAGTTGCTTGTAAGTTATTACTTATAAATAAATCATCTTTGTCTGCTGGTTTTGTGGAAAAAGTGTAGCTTAGAACTAGTGAAAGGTTTTTTACAGTTCACTCCCTGACATTTAACAAGGTCCAGTTCCCTGGTGGTCAGTTTAAAGGAAGGTGGTTCTTTTATACTGACAGTAATTTCTGATGTGTGTATTCCTCCTTGACATCATCCTGAACTGTGTAGCATCTGTTGTCTTAATGTTTCAGTGTCCCTCTTCACAGCCTACTCTTTTTTTCTGTCTCAAGACATGCAAAATGTGGATGTTATGTTCTAACAATCGACATCACTACACATAGGGCATTCCCATGTGTGCTTTCTCTGATGCAGCAGCCACTCCAAGGTACCTCTACTGATTGTTTCCATGAGGAGCTGGTTATAATGTCTCCTATCTCAGCCTCAAAGGCGACATAGACATGCTTTACTCCCATGTCATGCAATTATGGTAGTGTCAGATTCGTCATTATCCACTAACCTAATCCGTACCGCATTGAGCAGATATCTTCTATATCCATGCATCTTCCCGCATACATTGGTGCATTGGTTGCCAGTTGAATATTTGCTTCTGGTGTGAGTAACCAGTTCTTCGTATTAGTCAGTTTCTTGAAAATATCTTCATTACCATTTGTCCTAGTCTGTCCATGATGTTCTTCTCAACGTTCTGTCGACACCACTTCTCAGCGGCTTGTAAGTAATTACTCTTAAGTCTGCTGTTTGTTCATGATTCACTTTCCTGCAAAAGGATTGACTCTTGTTCTTATATTCTTTATCTTGTGCCAGAACTGCCTGTTTTACAAATTTTTTTTGCAGTTTTTGAGGGGGGGGGGGGGGGGGGGGGATTTAGAGCTTCCTTGCTAGTGCTGTTGCCACAGACTTTGCATGTTAGGTTTTAATGTTTTACCCCAGACAGAAAAAAAAATCCATGAGCATGAGGATTGAAACCTGGATTTCCCATCGAGGAGCCCAGCATTCTTGATCTTTTGGCCAGCCGCGCCTATATCTTGTGCATAACTGCTTTTAAAATAATTTTAGAAAATGCTTATTATGCTTTTGCTTTAAGTTCAACACATGATATTTGCGTTCATTTTAATTAATCTTATTGTATCCGTTATCTTTAGCCATCCGTAGGGAAATGGCGCTGGCGAGCATAAAGCAGAAGTTTGAAAGTGAAGAATTGGCAGCTTTTCAACATATGGAGGTAAAAAATCATCATCATCATTTTCTTGTTGTGCCTTTATATGTCACATAGGGCTCATAGTCTGTTTTTCCGTTCTGTTCTTCCCATCAATTCAATATCATGAATAGAATCCAGTCCAGTACCTTTGGCCTCTCTTATCAATATTCGTATTAGAGTTTCTATTGGGCATCCTCACCACCTAATCCTTTTTATTTCCCATTTTAATACCTGTTTGGTGCTTCTCTACTCTTTTTCTTCTCAGGATGTGTCCAGTATCACGCTGTCTTTTCCGTCTTATAACTGTTGATACTAGAGGTCGCCCAGGCATTTCTCTTATTCCATCGCCCTTCTTAAATTCACCCTATTTTGTGTTCATCCTTTTCTTCAGGCATTTGTTTTTTTAAAACATTTAACTTTCATTCCATGTCTTTGGTGGTTCTTCAACTGTCAGTAGCAAAATAAAAATATACTGGAGGGCATATATTCATTTGGTATGTGTTTTTTTTTTTAAAGACAGCATTAAGTCTGTTTTGTGTGTGTGTGTGACTTCAGGACATTGTCGCATGGTTATTTTATGTTACTTCCAGACATTGTCAAAGGTTTATTTTTTGTGATTTCAGGACAATGTCAAATTTTCTTTGTGTGTGTGTGTGTGATTTCAGGTCACTGTCAAATGTTTTTTTTTTTGGGGGGTGTGTGTGTGTGACTTCAGGTCGGTGTCAAATGTTTCTTTTGTGTGTGTGTGACTTCAGGTCGGTGTCAAATGTTTTGTGTGTGTGTGTGACTTCAGGTCGGTGTCAGATGTTGTTTGTGTGTGTGTGATTTCAGGTCACTGTCAAATGTTTTTTGTTTGTTTGGGTGTGTGACTTCAGGTCGGTGTCAAATGTTTTTTGTGTGAGTGTGACTTCAAGTCGGTGTCAGATGTTGTTTGTGTGTGTGTGACTTCAGGTCGTTGTCAGATGTTGTTTGTGTGTGTGTGACTTCAGGTCGTTGTCAGATGTTGTTTGTGTGTGTGTGACTTTAGGCCGGTGTCAAATATTTTGTGTGTGTGTGACTTCAGGATGGTGTCAAATGATTGTTTTATATGATGTCAACGTAAACTTGTTATTTTGTGGGATTTTAGGTCTGTGTAAAAGGATTATCTTGTGTGACTTCAGGACGGTGTCAAATGATTTTTGTATGTGACTTCGGGACAGTTGTCACGTAATTATTCTGTGTGACTTCAGGTCGGTGTCAAATGTTTTGTGTGTGTGTGTGACTTCAGGTCGGTGTCAGATGTTGTTTGTGTGTGTGTGATTTCAGGTCACTGTCAAATGTTTTTTGTTTGTTTGGGTGTGTGACTTCAGGTCGGTGTCAAATGTTTCTTTTGTGTGTGTGTGACTTCAGGTCGGTGTCAAATGTTTTTTGTGTGAGTGTGACTGCAAGTCGGTGTCAGATGTTGTTTGTGTGTGTGTGACTTCAGGTCGTTGTCAGATGTTGTTTGTGTGTGTGTGACTTCAGGTCGTTGTCAGATGTTGTTTGTGTGTGTGTGACTTTAGGCCGGTGTCAAATATTTTGTGTGTGTGTGTGACTTCAGGATGGAGTCAAATGATTGTTTTATATGATGTCAACGTAAACTTGTTATTTTGTGGGATTTTAGGTCTGTGTAAAAGGATTATCTTGTGTGACTTCAGGACGGTGTCAAATGATTTTTGTATGTGACTTCGGGACAGTTGTCACGTAATTATTCTGTGTGACTTCAGGACAGTGTAAAATGGTTATATTTTGAGAAACTTCAGGACAGTGACAACCAGATAGTTTTAGAATGAAAACTTTGACTGAAACTTGTAAAGTGAGATTTGAAGACGTGGACTGAAACTTTTATAGTGAGATTTAAGGACATTAACAGAAACCTGTGTAGTGAGATTTGAAGACATTGACAGAAACTTGTATAGTGAGATTTGAAGACATTGACAGAAACTTGTATAGTGAGATTTGAAGACATTGACAGAAACTTGTATAGTGAGATTTGAAGACATTGACAGAGACTTGTTATAGTGAGATTTGAAGACATTGACAGAAACTTGTTATAGTGAGATTTGAAGACATTGACAGAAACTTGTATAGTGAGATTTGAAGACATTGACAGAAACTTGTATAGTGAGATTTGAAGACATTGACAGAAACTTGTATAGTGAGATTTGAAGACATTGACAGAAACTTGTATAGTGAGATTTGAAGACATTGACAGAGACTTGTTATAGTGAGATTTGAAGACATTGACAGAGACTTGTATAGTGAGATTTGAAGACATTGACAGAGACTTGTATAGTGAGATTTGAAGACATTGACAGAAACTTGTAAAGTGAGATTTGAAGACATTGACAGAGACTTGTTATAGTGAGATTTGAAGACATTGACAGAGACTTGTTATAGTGAGATTTGAAGACATTGACAGAGACTTGTTATAGTGAGATTTGAAGACATTGACAGAGACCTGTTATAGTGAGATTTGAAGACATTGACAGAAACTTGTAAAGTGAGATTTGAAGACATTGACAGAAACTTGTTGTAGTGAGATTTGAAGACATTGACAGAAACCTGTGTAGTGAGATTTGAAGACATTGACAGAAACTTGTTATAGTGAGATTTGAAGACGTTGACAGAAACTTGTTATAGTGAGATTTGAAGACGTTGACAGAAACTTGTTATAGTGAGATTTGAAGACGTGGACTGAAACCTGTGTAGTGAGATTTGAAGACATTGACAGAAACTTGTTATAGTGAGATTTGAAGACATTGACAGAAACTTGTTATAGTGAGATTTGAAGACGTGGACTGAAACCTGTGTAGTGAGATTTGAAGACGTGGACTGAAACCTGTGTAGTGAGATTTGAAGACGTGGACTGAAACTTGTATAGTGAGATTTGAAGACATTGACAGAAACTTGTTATAGTGAGATTTGAAGACATTGACAGAAACCTGTGTAGTGAGATTTGAAGACATTGACAGAAACTTGTATAGTGAGATTTGAAGACATTGACAGAAACTTGTATAGTGAGATTTGAAGACATTGACAGAAACTTGTTATAGTGAGATTTGAAGACATTGACAGAAACTTGTATAGTGAGATTTGAAGACATTGACTGAAACTTGTGTAGTGAGATTTGAAGACTTTGACAGTTTGTTTATTGTGCTTGCAGAGTGAGAAGGTGCTTTTATATGACACAATAAAACTAGAACTGGAAGATAAAATCAGACGTTTGGAAGAGGACAGGCACAACATAGATATTTCCTCTGGTAAGTGATTGCTGTCTCAGAGGTGGGCAGAAGCAGACTTCTTCTTCTTCTTCTGCCTTTCTAGCTCCAGTGGAGCATAGGCCCTCAACCAACTCACCAGATAGCAAAGGATATAATGACTTGGCATGAGAAGCAGTCAGTTACAGAATAATTGTTATAATACTGTCTATCAAGAAAAAGTAGCTGATAATTGTGCTGTTTGTACCAACTTTGTGCTGTTGATTGCCAGACCTAGACAGTCCTAGAAAAACAAATGTAAAATTATAAAAAGTGAGATGAGATGTTTAAGAAATGTGGTGGGGAAAATAAGTAGAGACAGAGTCATCAATAAAGAAGTAAAAAATCAATGACAAGCACATTACCAGTAAATGATTTACTAGAACATCAAAGAAACAAATGGTTTGGTCATATCGTCAGAATGGAACAAAATCAGCCAGCAGCTGGGTGTGCTACATGAGAACAACATGCTACAAAGCAAGAGGCCAACCAAGAAGAGATGGGTGGATGAAGTAAAAGAGACACAACAGAAACCAATAAGCACTCAGTGGAGGATGTGGTCAACATTTCATTGGCTGCTTTTACTTCCTAGGGTATTTTCTGTTACCTGCTTTAGACTGGATGAACCAGGGAGCCAGCCATGGCCAGTTATGAAAAAAAATATGGAATTTAAACCCTAGACCTTTAGATCATCAGGCTAGCATCTAACCAATGTTAACCACAGCTCTCTAAAAATGCATGAGTTAGTTCTTACATAACAGATGCAGACCGTTGAGTCATTTTAGTATTTGAATAACAGTCAAGACATTTTTGGACGTGTTGTAAAGGTTAAAAAAAACTTGGAACACTTAATGATGGCTGGTAAATTGGTTGGGAAGAGAACAAGAGAAAGACAAAGATGTTCTTGGTCACATCATTTTCAACACACCTTCGTGTAGATTCCTGGGTCCCATGTGGTGGGGGGGGGGGGTAGACCCACGGCCTCCCTAACACGCATGTCATATAAGGCGACTAATGGTGAATTTTCTGAGAAGTCAGAGCCCATCTGCCTGAGCAGCAAGTAACGAATAAGCCAGATCTTTAAAATGGATATGCACGCAAAATTCAGTTTTAGGAACAAGACTAAAGTCCAAAAGTGGACGAACAACCAGAACTTTTCGCATACAGCTGGTGAAGACTTAAGAGGATTATCAAAACAATAAAAGCAAGAAAGTTGAAGTGGAAGTGAAAGACTACCTTCTCTCGTCAGTTTATTGGTGAAATGATCAGGTTATTGGCTTTGTTCTCTGAAGATCCTAAGTTTGTTTCATGGCTGTGTCATCCAGTCAGGGCTTTTAGCAGCCGTTGAAACCTTGAAAAATCATTGAATGACAACTATATCCTTAAAATCTTGAAATGTGTGGGATCTTTAATGAAAAAATACCAACGTTTATGAAGTTTGCCGGCAGTAACTTTGAAGTAATGAATGAAACAAATCAGAAACAAGTAGAGTTCATAAAACCCATATGTTCGACAGTCATCATTTAAAAATTTGAAGGAAAAAAAAGGCTATGCTGTCACGGTAAAGAAATTAATCAAGTAACAGAAAGTGTGTTGATCGGCACTCATAGAAAGAAGTAGAATGATAGAAAAATGTTTATTTGTCAGTTTCGCACCCCACCTCTTCCCACCCACAGTGTTAATGCTTATGTTCCCAACTAACATAGGAAAAAATGAAAAACATTTGTCTGGTACAGGAGAAACTGCGCTGTGTTTGAGGATAGAATGGGCAAATGTTTCATCGATTTTTTTTTTCTTTCTTAGATGTGTTATTTTTTAGCAACCTTGTAGTAAAACATGAACTCACTTAAGACGGAAACTCCTGGTTAATATGAACAATGGAAATGTATTATTATACTTGTTCAGTGATCTCTGGTCACGCATTGAATCTGCCGTGTGTCATAAACTGGGATGTCGTCTCACGGTCTCTTAGGTTTCCCCAGATCTTAGTTGTCAGGTCTACTTGGTGTGGCCACATGTTGCTTTGTTAAGAGAGGCAAGACATGTTCTGGAGTCTGTTCAGTATGAAGACACTGACAGACAACTGTTGGTTGCCTTGCTAAGAGAGGCAAGACATGTTCTGGAGTCTGTTCAGTATGAAGACACTGACAGACAACTGTTGATTGCTTTGTTAAGAGAGGCAAGACATGTTCTGGAGTCTGTTCAGTATGAGGACACTGACAGACAACTGTTGGTTGCTTTGTTAAGAGAGGCAAGACATGTTCTGGAGTCTGTTCAGTATGAGGACACTGACAGACAACTGTTGGTTGCTTTGTTAAGAGAGGCAAGACATGTTCTGGAGGCTGTTCAGTATGAAGACACTGACAGACAACTGTTTGGCTCATACCTTATTTATATAAGTGTTTTATGAGTCTGGAGTGTCCATGCGTAAGCAAATGTATTATTCAAAATACATCTGTTAGTCCCTGGTTAGCACATTTTCTTTTACAATCTAAAAAATATTTTGAATTTCTTTTTTTGCGTGCTTGCTTGGAATTCTAGTTTTCAAGATTTTACTGTATTATCAAAGATTTTTAAGATGTCAACATGATATTGTTTTTCTTCCAGACCTTTGGCAAGAATCTCAAACAATGAAGAAAAAGAAGAAGACAGATCCATTGCATCCAGAGAGGAGGAAGAAGCCTCAGACAGTTTCTGATATCCTTTTTCTAACACCGCATTGCCAGGTTTTCATACAAAAGAGCAGTATACAAGTTATTATAACATAAAAGTCAGCCTTTTCTTCTTCTTGGCAGTAAACTCCAGCAGAAAGGTCTGGTTGCTTGTCCACTTCTTGACTTTGATCTCAGAATCAAAAGACTTTGATCTCAAAATCAAAAGACTTTGGACTTTGGTCTCGTTCTAAAGCTTGTTGTAAAACACAGTTAAATGGGGGTGTTCCTTTTGAAAAAGGAGTGCTTCCAAGCCTGAGAGGCAAGGAAACAACAGTCAGAATATAAATAAGCCAAATATGTAAAACAGATATGCATGCAAAACTCAATTGCCTAATTGAGACCAAAGTCTGGAAGTGGATGAACAACTTAAACTTTCTGTACAGACAAAGAAGAAGAAGAAAAGATTATGTAGATGGTACATATTTAGTTTTTAAAGAAAAGGTCATCAAATCATTTCAAATTAAAGGGATGTGTGGCTCTGCATGTTAGAGGTTAATGAGCGTGTTTCACAGTCCTGGCAAACCAGGGTTTATTTTCCATGGCTGGGTTTTAGAAAAGAAAAAATTGTCATTCTTATGGGTTGTAGGCAGTGGTGCAAGTCAGCTATGGAAGTTATTGGAGCCTCTCTTCAAACAAACTCAGCGATATCTGTGTATCTGGCCTTCATTGTGGATCCGACACAAACTAATTTAAAATAATAAAAATGAGGTGGCTGAAAGCAGTGGCTCCTAGTTAGCTACGGCCTGTGGACGTCTGTTATTTTTTTAAGGTCCTCTGCAGACCCCATACTTTTTATATGCTTTTGTTAAGTTTAGTTTTGTTAACAGCCATAATGAAGAACTTTTTACTTCATATTTTAATTGCAAAAGGGCTTGCATTCATAAATTGGGAGTTAAAAAAAAAAACATTATCATAGACAACTTATATTTGTTCTGTGGCCCCTAGAGAGTCTGCGGAACACCAGATGGGAGAAACTGGATTAGAGGCTTGGTTTCATTCCTATCTTTTTTATAATCAGCATCATGTCTACTTCTTATAGTCCATGCTTTGTGGCACTGATAATCATATCTGTCTTCTACAGCAGTGGTTTTTGACCTTTTTATTAGATTGTTACAAATAGAAGACCAAGCCCTTAGCCTTGGCTGGCAGCTGGTCGAGGAGCGAAGCTCCGACACTTACATAATTAGAACACTGCTCTTCTAATCCGGCAGCTTTTTCAGGCTACTTTGTTCCAGACGCATTGGTGTTACCTTTCATTAGGAGTAAATAAGGCAGGTTGAGTGAGGGATCATGGTGCATGGGCAACATATGGTCCCTACAGTACAGTCTAGGCTTTGTGCTATGGAGAGGAGGAACTTCATACGTGGCCTTGATTGGTCTTGAAAAAAAATTGAAAGGCAGCAGTTACGGGTTAGAAGTCCTTGTCACTTGGCATAGATGAGGACGCCACGGGTTGCTTCTGATGATGGGAGACATTTTGGAATGTTTCTGACCCACACTAATTACAAATGATGACACAAGGGTCCTGAAATCCCATGCTATAATTACGGAATACTTTTTCTAATGTGGGCAGGTCTAGCTAGTCACACTCGTCGTCACCATAGGCTGTGAGTTCTATGCCTCCTCATAGCACAGTATAACACTGTCATCTGGGAAGACAACAGTACAAAGTGACACAATTTCAAATTGCTTGATCTCTCCTCCTCCCCCATGAAAACCATTGGACTATACAGCCTTCTTTCTCGTGTACTGTCAGTATAGGATTGGAGGATGGAAATATTTGAAGGTGGAACATATTGTGTGTTGAGTAGTTAGTTTAGTAAGAGTTCGTCCAACAGAAGTTACTGCCGTTGTGGTATGAAGTGTTAGGCGCTTACATATAATTAAAGTCACGACATAGTTGTTTCCAGATTGACTCAATAAAACTATCTTTACTATCTGGATTTACCATGTTTGGGACTTATAGGGCGGGGGAGGTAATAAGTGCGAGGATTTAAAACTGAATATCAAGTGCAGTTGCCATAAACTGCAAGGTAGGATTTTTATTTGTACCCTAGACAGAAATCTCTCTGCCTATTTTGAGGATTGAAATGGGGTCTCCCACATAACAGCCTAGTGCTTTACTCAGCTGACCGGCGTCTGTCCATTTTTCCAGACAGTTTTGGAAATTTGACGTCTGGTGCCTATTTTAAAATGAAGCTGTATCAACACCAGAGTCGTACTGTAGTTATACACTGCCTCCCAAAGTCGGATGTATTTAAAAAAATTATTTTAAAGCCCCGCCCTGGCTATTGCCAGGGGCCCTAATATTTAACCCAACCTGTGGGTTGAATGGGGTTTCTGGAACCTCTGCCCAGGTGATCCACATCCGATTTGTGGCACTTTGTGTCACTGGGTGTTAATTGCTAGGTGTGATGTCCTGGTGGCGTTGAACGTCAGTCAGTCAGAGTTGAACTTGGCCAGAGAAAACAAATGTATCCTAGGTGTTCTTGGGATTGTACCTGGACTGCTGCCCTGGCAGGCGAGTGTTCACCAACCATTGGGAGCTTAGTGACATTGAGAGCAGAAAGGGGGCCTGAAGATTGAAGCACTTTTATTTTTCCTTGACTGTGCAACGTCCATATATTGTGTACATGCTTCGAGATGGGGATGTCATGGATGACTGGATGGCAGTCAAAAAGGTAAAGTAGTCTTTTGTCTTTGGCTTCTACATGGTTGTTGTCATAACCGTTATCAAGTTTCAGTGTCTGTATTCTCTTTATCTTCAGACGCACGTTTACAAGCACACACACACACACACTAATCACACACAGTATTTATTACTGTTGTCCGATTGATGGGGGAGGGGCATGTGTATACATGTACTACCATAGAAAATTATTTTGTGTATTTGTATACAAATCTTTGTTAAATGTCTGAGATTTAGGGGGGACCCCCCCCCCCCCCCCCCCCCCCCCATTCCTTAAAAAAAAAAAACATACATTTTCTTTTGTTTGTTTTTAATATAGGCCCTAAAACAACAGACACAGAAAAGAAAATCGGAGTGTGAGTATTATTCTTTAGTGTCTGTGTTTTGTAGTATAAGTCTAGTAGTTTGTGTAGTGTAGTATTAGTCTAGTAGTTTGTGTAGTGTAGTATTAGTCTTGTAGTTTGTGTAGTGTAGTATTAGTCTAGTAGTTTGTGTAGTGTAGTATTAGTCTAGTAGTTTGTGTAGTGTAGTATTAGTCTTGTAGTTTGTGTAATGTAGTATTAGTCTTGTAGTTTGTGTTGTGTAATATTAGACTTGTAGTTTGTGTTGTGTAAATATAGCAGCTTGTTTAGTATAAATATAGCAGCTTGTTTAGTGTAAATATTGCAGCTTGTTTAGTATAAGTATAGCAGTTTGTTTAGTGTAAATATAGCAGCTTGTTTAGTGTAAATATAGCAGATTGTTTAGTGTAAATATAGCAGCTTGTTTAGTGTAAATATAGCAGCTTGTGTAGTGTAAATATAGCAGCTTGTTTAGTATAAATATAGCAGCTTGTTTAGTGTAAATATAGCAGCTTGTTTAGTATAAATATAGCAGCTTGTTTAGTATAAATATAGCAGTTTGTTTAGTATAAATATAGCAGTTTGTTTAGTGTAAATATAGCAGCTTGTTTAGTATAAATGTAGCAATATTTGTTGTATAAATGTGACCAGCCCTTATATCAGCGCTCCAGACCCTGCATGGTTTTCGCTAAGCGCGTGCAAACCACTGTTAGTCGTGATTCTCTAGAAACACGTCTTCCACAACTTCGTGCTCCACGAGAACCGTTGCACTCGTCTCTCATTTCAAGCCACATGGACCCCTTTTGCCCGCGTCTCTGTTACCATCATCATCTTGTTTCTTACTAATTGGCGTAGGTGATCGTGCCTTTGACCAACCCAGTGAATTTAGCGTGCAACATCAATCTTTCCAGACTATAGTGCTGCTATTTAGAGGTATGGGAATAATCACTTAGCACAGAATCTACCCAGTGTTGTAGAAGCCACTTGTTGGATAAATGCATATATGTATACAATATTTCACATTGAGAGCAACGGGCAACCCTGCAGAAAATTAGAGACATACTTCAGTTCTGTACATTATGCAATAGATAAAGGATTCTGAATTTACACAACAGTGGCTGACTGTACAAAGTTAACCAATGTTTTTTCGGTGTGGGTACTCCCTGTCAGGGGCTTGTAGATGAGAAATCCTTTCGTCTCCTTAAATAATACATGTCTTCTTTTCTTTACTTCCTCTTTTACTGCTTTGGGTATCGAAGGCGTCTTCTTCCTCTTTCTCCTCCTCCTCTTCTTCTTTTTTAACTTCCTTTATTACTGCTTTCGGTGACGTGGGAGATAAAGGTTCTGCTTCTTGCTGTTCTAACCGCTTCAACCATCGACACATCATGCTCTTGTAGGGGTTTTCTGATGTTATCTTGCCATATTGTTCTTGGTCTGCCTAGTGCTCTACGTCTGTATCCTCTTTTGATATATGTCTTGTGCTGTATAGTATCACAAGGCATCCTCTCTAAGTTGAATGCATACAGAATTAAGCTTTGTGAGTAATTCTGGGATGTACAAGAGATACCCGGTTGGTATGTATGCAATATATAACACTTGCACTGCCTACTATTGCTGGTAGGTTAAAAGTTTTGCAAGCAGTCGTATCTCAGGGTAGATCGACGAGGCAGATCCCTGATACGTCAGTCAGCATATAAAGAAGTTTTGGCTATCCTCCCAATAAGGGTCCCAAATGATCGAGGCCGGAAATATACCCTAACAGGGCCTTAGTCACATGTAAATTGCGGACCTCTTCGGGCGACTACACAGCATACCGCCGAAAGTATCTCCAGCGCCGCTAAGCGTGGCACGGAGTAGGGCTAAACTAAACGGCTGGGACTCACAAGCAAACAAAAAGAAGGAAGCTGCGGAAGATGTGGTAGCTGCTGCTTGTGAGTCCCAGCCATCTAATTTAGCCCTGCATTGCGCGTAGCGGTGCAAGAGATACTCTCGGTGGAAGCTTTTCCGCGGTATGCTGTGTGGTCACCAGAAGAGGTCCGCAATTTACATGTGACTGAGGCCCTGTTAGGGTATATTTTCGGCCTCGATAATTTGGGACCGTTATTCTGAGGATAGCCTAAGTTTTCATTAGGGCAGCAATAAAAATAGCTACACCAGTAAAAGTGTGACCTGCAGTCCAGTGTGGGTAATGGTTACATGTTATTATACCAGATGCTTCTTATATTGTTTAACGTGATGCTTCTTATGTTACTATGTTCCCCGCGTGGGTTCCAGGGCCTTATTGTGGGGAAAACAAGACTAGACTAACTGGGTGGAGGGGGGGGGGGCATCCTTCAAAGTGATGTTTCTTATCTTAAAATATGTGATCTTTCTTATGTTAAAATATGTGATCTTTTTTAAAATATGTGATCTTTCTTATGTTAAAATATGTGATCTTTCTTATGTTAAAATATGTGATCTTACATTTTAGTGTGACAGTGGACCCGAGAATCTGCTGAATCCAGATTTCGTTTGCATTGGAAATACTTCAGCGGTGTTCCTGATCCAGTCATCAGGTCTTCGGTTATACAGAGAACCATGGATGGTTAAGATGAAGACTTTTCCTAGCCGGTTCTAGTTTGGCCCTCACGACTGCTGCCTGCTGCACAAAATTTATCATAAAATTGAAATGAAATAGATTACCTTAAACTGCATTTCCTAGCCTAAAAAAATATCTTCAAAACTCAAGGTTGGCATATATGTGGCTGGTTGAAAATGTGTTTGAGTACAGGCCTGCCTTAGAATTCTGAAGTAAACATCTTGAGGTCAGCTTCTGCACCAGGGCTATTTAAATGATGGCCCACAGGCCAGATCTGGCCTACAGATTCCTAGCAAGTGGCCCACAGGCCAAATATGGTCTACAGATTCCTAGCAAGTGGCTCACAGGTCAGATCTGGCCTACAGATTCCTAGCAAGTGGCCCACAGGTCAGATCTGGCCTACAGATTCCTAGCAAGTGGCTCACAGGTCAGATCTGGCCTACAGATTCCTAGCAAGTGGCCCACAGGTCAGATCTGGCCTACAGATTCCTAGCAAGTGGCTCACAGGTCAGATCTGGCCTACAGATTCCTAGCAAGTGGCTCACAGGTCAGATCTGGCCTACAGATTCCTAGCAAGTGGCCCACAGGTCAGATCTGGCCTACAGATTCCTAGCAAGTGGCCCACAGGTCAGATCTGGCCTACAGATTCCTAGCAAGTGGCTCACAGGTCAGATCTGGCCTACAGATTCCTAGCAAGTGGCCCACAGGTCAGATCTGGCCTACAGATTCCTAGCAAGTGGCTCACAGGTCAGATCTGGCCTACAGATTCCTAGCAAGTGCCCTGCAGATCTTTCCCAGTTGTGTTGTTTAACTGATCTGTCCACTCTGGGGCTTGGAACTCTGCTGGCCCACGTTGATTCCCCATTTTGGCTCCTGGCTAAGCGTAGTTGAAAAGCCATGTTCCACACCATGTCAGTTTGTATGCCACAGTTTATGGTATCTAAATTGTAAATATAAGGAACAGAAGGATGGTGTTAATGTAATATGTCTATGTACGCTGCGAGGGGTATTAAAGAAGTGACCCTTAACTATCTTGGTTATAAACAAGGGAAGTGTGTAACTGGTTCTTCCCTGTGGATTCCCTTGCAGCGTGTGTTCTCTTTCTGTTGTTTTTTGGTTGATAGAAGTTCCTCCTCTCCATTGCACAAAGCCTGGGCAGTATTTTAGAGACTATGATGCCCGGGAGTTGCCGTGGTGGAGCGGCTAGATGCTTGCTGCGGATCGGAAGGTCGTGGGTTCCCTTCCTGGCGGAGACTTTTTTCAAAAATGACCTTGGCTCCCAGGTCGACCCAGCCTAGAGTGGGTGCCGAATGCAGTTCCAGGAAGTGAAGGTGGCCAGCGTGATGCTGACCACATCACCCATCTTGTGCCGATTGGTCTATAAAATATAGGTCTAGCCCTATACGCCTAAAATCATGGAAAAGGGTCCTTTACTTTTTTTGTTTACTGATATGCTGCCCATACAGCACGTTTAATGCTGTTAGGTGTGGCAGTCACGGCTGTTGTCTTTCTCTGTTGTTGCAGTCACTGCTGTTGTCTTTCACTGTTAGGTGTTGTTGCAGTCACTGCTGTTGTCTTTCTCTGTTTAATGCTGTTAGGTGTTGCAGTCACGGCTGTTGTCTTTCTCTGTTTAATGCTGTTAGGTGTTGCAGTCAGGGCTGTTGATTGGTTTCCAAAATAGTGTGCACTTATTTGCTTGCTGCATAGTGATATTGTGAGTTTCAGCAAGTTGTTAACTCAGTCTGTCTGTTCTCTTCTTGGCCTTCCACTGCCTAATGTTTCCACTCTCACGTTGCAATCAGTGTTATTTCCTGGTGTCTTCTTGTTTTGTTGCTGCTTCTCTTAAACATCTCATCCATCTCTCAGTCTGCTTTGTTAACTCCAGAGAAAAGATAACACAATACATTTTAAAAACAGGTTTTTTAAAAAATTAATATCCTACCCCAGATGACATTACAGGACAGTCCAGCATTTTAGAGGGTGGTAAGACTGGATTTCCCGGTTCTCTGTATCTTTTAGCGACCCCAAAACATCTACAAATGGCCCTAACCCTAACCCAACTATGTCCCACAAGAGAGTGCGGCCTAGGTCCCACCACTGCATGCAGCCTATCTGCCACCCTCTGAAATATTAGACTGCCCCATGCCCTGTGGATTTCCCCTGTTTGGGGTAGGATATTAATATAGCACCCAAAAAAAAGTATGCTGCAGAAGCTGCTAGATCAGAGAAGAGTGCTCTGTCAGTAAGCCTGTGCATAGCTTTAAAGCAGGTGAGAATGAGGAAAGAGGGGATATTATAGGCTGAATCTGTACAAATGTAGAGTCAGCAAATATCCTGTCCCTATTTTTTGGCAGATATGGTCTAAATTAATTATATAGACAAGAGGTAGATTCTGAAGCTGTGTTAAGTTTGGGAATCTCCAGGGATGAGACCATTG